TTTCTTTTCAGCTAACTTGCACAGAAAATGACAGTAAATATAATGATAAAAAAATTGCATGAAACGAGAATCAGGAAGGGGCTCGTCGGAGGAATTTTAGAGTTTTGACTGCGACAGCTCCGTTGGACTTTGCCCACAGCTTTTGGCTCACCCGCCGTCCCTCTTGCTCCGATTTGTCCATAGGGGTGCTCGAAATTGAATTCCAAGTGGGTAGAAATTTTTTTATTTCTTTTGGCGGTCGACGGTAGCTCCGGTGCGGCGGTGGTTGGAGGTCGACCTCCTTCTCCTGCACCTGGTTCTTCTTCTCCAGAAGAGGCTGACAGTTAGGGTTTGGGTTTCCATGCGACGCGAAGTATTTATACCCATCTCACATTGATCTGGGTCATCCATCACGATTGATCTCGATCATCTAATCGCCCAAAGTGGGAAAGTGAATCTAGTCTGTTCACGTGCGCGGGATCGATCCTGGGCCGTCCGATCGGAGAGCACGCATATCGCCCATGTGGCCTCTTGCGTGGTACCGACATCAACGTGCCTTGCCACGCGGCGTGCTCCGGTTCATCGGGGCTGCTGATTGGGCAGTCTTATGTGACTAAATTTTTTCTATTTGTATTTTAACCTCCTGTTTCTAATTATTTTTTCAAAAATACCATCTAAATTCAAATTTTCACTATTTTTCTCTAAAATTGCTTTCAGTTACATCCATGCCTTTTTTTTTCAATAATTTAACAATATTAATTTATTTTTAAAATACCAAAATTGATCCCGGGTATTACGTTTTATTTTTTTGTTAAACATATAAATCTTTGAGAAAAATTTAGTGAAGTTAGATAGACTTTTTAAAATATTAAAAAAATAAAAAATAGTCTCATAAATTACTTATATTTTAATAGGTCATCTAATACATAAGTTTACAGGTTGAAAATGTGTCACCGACTTAGCAAACCTATATGAAGTTCTTATTAAAAAAATTGTAGGGATTTCAAACATTAAATCTCTAGTTCCATACATCTTAAATAATAGTCTTAATCGATTATTTCAAAAGGTTAAACTGATATAAAATACTCAATCAATTATTTACATTACAACATGTTTAAGCGTTTAGGTAATCATTTACTCTATTATTCAAGATAACATTAGAATTATATATATGATGTTTGAATCCTACTAATTATACTTTTATGAAAAAATAAATTTATAAAAATGTAATAAGCATATGGATGATTCACGCTTTCAATTTAGTGGAGTTATGCGTAAAAAAATATGTTAAAGTACAAATAATTGATTGATAAATTTTTTATTAATTTATACTTTTTTAAATAATAAGTTCGAGATATATTATTTTGTCTTACCACTTTGTTAAATGAAAAAATTCCTACTCTTTCCCACTTTACTACATAAATTTTTAATTTTATCTACTCTATTTAGGATGGGACTAGGTGACTAACTGAAATATTCAACCCAATTATTATCCTTGAACTCTACCAAAACCCACAACTCAACCTAATAAACTCCTATATTCTTAAATAATTTTAATCCTTATATCTTCTTTGACAATTTCAATTACTAATGAAATACTTATATAGATTACCATATAGTCACATAGATTGGATCACATAAAATTTAATGGTATGTTTTAATATTGGATTGTAATATAACATATTAAATTAATTTGTGATTATACTTTTCTACACATGTATTAGCATAAATAAAATATAAAAAAAAAGTCAAAAGTTTTAGATCTAGATAAGTACCTCTTGGATTCTAAAATTAGATTCTAAATATAGCTTTTATTTTAGTATGTTTTTTAAAATCATTAAGACGATTGTTGGCTAAAATATATTTTGTAAAAATAATTGAGTTAGAAGATTAGCTACAAGTTAGTAGTAAAAAATAGTTTTGAAAAGATCCATGTTTATATTCACCGGTTATACAATTATCTACTCAATATATCGAATATATTAAATTGAAGATCAAACATATTATAATTGATGAGATAAGATAAAGCTAAGATAGAATTAGGTACATGATTAGTAGATCCACTAGTATCATGCTACACGATTATGTATAACTTATAATTTGGTTCGATTTCAATAAGGAAACTTTAATTTGTTTGTAAAAACACCCAATTCTTGGGTATGATGTTATTTTGAATATTTTAAGGAGTTTAAAGCATGTTTGTGTATGATCATGTAAGGTAGCACAGAGAGACAAAAGGCCATTGCATATGTTTTGAAAGATTATCCAAATATTCTATTCTTTTTGCATAAGACTTTCCCTCAAAGTTTTTTACAAACTGAATAATCATTTCTGAAGTAAAGTTGGTGGATCGCTTCATTGCTTGTCTTTACAAGACATGCCACGAGGAAGGCTGGATCTTCATGTATTCCAGTATATAATGTAAAATTAAATATGCTTACTTTATATATAGCTTTTTTAGGTGCTTTTATGGGTATCTGTGTTGGTGCATGGGATGTATATGGGAGTGTTTCCAATACAATCTTTAAGTTGGGATCCACAATTGGATAAGCAATGTTATATTGGATCTCATCAAAATCCATTGATATCCAGAAACATTGAGGAGATGGAACATGTTAAAGGTAAATATTGAATAATACGTTAAATCGATTATCTTAAAAATTTAAACGGATAAAAGAATAATACAATTTAAATACTTGTATCTTAATATACTTCTATGTACGATTAAAAATTTTTTGAGGCTTAACGAGTAGATTCTAACCCAAAAAAAGATCAAAAACCCAAAATAAAACTTGACAAAGTGGGAATGATTTGAAGCCTAATACCAAATGTAAAGAACCAGTTAACAAATGGCAAAAAAAGAGGCAGCCATTAGACTGAGAATAACCAGACACAACTAAATGTAAATCTCATAGATTCATTACTGACATTACAGAATGAGTATCTAGTCTTTATTCATTACAAGTATGTAGATAAGAAGAGTATCTACAATCTTCTAAGCTCTAAAAAACATGAGTGTCGGGTAGATGTTAATGCTGATTGCTCTTCACCTTATGCAGGTTTATTCATGTCGGATCTTCCACCGGACATTCTCTCTGCCATCTCTCCACGCTCTCCTGAAAAGTGAAAAGTTGTGAATGGAAGAGTTATTTGGACTTTCTTGCTACTCCAATGACTTTACCGTACCAGTATGACTCTCAAGCTTTGAGGGTTTAAATCTGTAGTTACCTGTGCGAATTCTTATCACATCTGAGACAGGAACAACTGCATAAAGAATGAAATTCCATCATTAATGAAAATGCCCCAGAAATAGAAAGTCAGTTTTAAACATTGATCGATTTGTAGGATGAAAACTGGGATAATGGCTGATGCACCAACTACGAAACACAATATGCATCATACTGGAGAAAGGTTATAACAAATGGCTAGATTTCTCTCTCTAGAAATGACCTGTCTGTTTGTCACAGACTTTGTTGACAATTTCATATGCAAATACCAGCTGAGATCATTAGGCAAGAAAAATTCAGTTCCCACTCAGAGTTGGTTCAACTAACTGTAATTTCACAAGTATATAGCTAATACCTAGGTCCAACTGTTGTGAACGAGTGAAATTTCTGCTGGCAGTGCAATAAGTCTAGTAAAGACCAGAATAAGGAGATCTTCCACTCTCAACAGAGAGCATGAGAAAGGCTTTTGGTGATTATTGTTCCCCTTCTTTATAAGAGATCATTGATTTCAAACTCTTTGTTTTGCTTAAGGGTCATGCTCTCTCTTCTAAGGAGGATATTGATACCTTTTAGATATTTTGATTAACTTGCAACATATTTTTGTATTTTGGTAGCACTTTTTTGGTGGCTTCTCAATATGTTTACCTGTAGAAAAAAAGAACATAGATCTAATGCTTTCTCACTTTTCATCCAAAGGATTAAAGAGTTTCTCTGGAACTGGAAGCATAAAGAAACAACTAGCCAGAGAAACATGTAAAGCCAAGACTAAGGATGTACAGTCCTAGTATGTTCTTGGATGGCATGGTTTGTTTGCTATTTTTCTAATCATGGAAATTTTCAAAAATGATTGAATGGCTATTAATGGAAAATGGCTAACTACACAACTGGAGAAAGTCTTACCTCTGTGCAACTTTTAAGGGGTAAGGGGAAGGCTGCTGCAAGCAATATACAGGTTTTACAAAAAATGTGAACTACAAATGCAGACGACCAAAGCTAACTGCAAATAGGCCACATGCTTGAAAAGAAAATGAGAAAAGTTACAAATAAATTATATGTGATAGAAACATCAGCTAGCCCCAGTTCTTGTCTATAAGATAAAGTTCAACAGAAGAGCCAAAGGATCCCAGGAGATACTCTTTCCAATGGGAAGAAAAGTTTTCATGTTTACCAAAAATCTTGCCATCACCAATCTCTCCTGTTCTTGCCTCATCGATTATCTTATCTATTACTGCTTCAACCTAAGACAGGTTGCAGAATTCAGCAAAAAGGAAACATTTTGCAATGAATACGATTCTTAGTTTCTATATTTGATAACCAACTAGACTCTTCACATCATATATACCTGATTTTTTATTACCACAATTTCCATCTTAACCTTTGCCACGAAGTTGTCTTCAGAAAATTCAGAGCCTAGAAAATTACAAATGAGAAATAAATATTAGAGAAAATAGCATGCCAACCAAAGGTTATTGAACTCCCCAAACATCAACCAAGAAGATAGAGAAAAAAAAAAGCAAAAATATGCAATTTTCAGAGTCAATCTTGCAGGAAGAAACATCATACAATTAGCATGGTTAAAAGAACAGAAGCTAATTAAATATTCAACTTACTAAATCTGAATGATTGACAGCGTACAAAGGGAATGGATTAGGTCAAATATTAGAAGAAAATACAACTTAAATTAGTAACACATCTCTTCATAATTAATGGAGTTTTGGGACTTCTCAAAGCCAAGAGCTTACCACCCTGTCTCTCTGTTGAACCACCTTGAGCACCAAAGCCTCGAACATCAGAAATAGTAACACCACGGATACCCATTTTCAGCAGAGCCTTTATTTCACATGAAATGAACTTAAAATTAGAGCAAACACTAATTATTCACAATAGCTGATAGATAATATCCACAATTAGTGAAAAGAATCTGTGCCAAAGGGTGGCTAAAGAGTGAAAGAAGTCGTCCCTACATTCCCAACTTGTTAGAAGATAAAAAACTAATGCATCAATTCCCCTTCTCCCTCCTCTCTTTTCAATCTACTAGGGAGAAAAATTGTGACATCTAGACGGTTCAAGCTGACAAACATTTTATTGTTTTATTGTCTATTAGTAGTTCGGACTTTACTCCTACAACAATTGAAGTAAAACAAGATGGGAGCTGCTCTCTACTCATCTCATAATGCTATCTGACGTTGTAAAAAACATTATGCAATTTAGAACAATACCATTAAGCCTGAAGAGTCTTAAGAGTCCAGAAACAATACCATTAAGCCAACTAAAGTTTGCGGCAAAATGAAGACAATACTTGAAATTTAGAACTTAGAACCACTTCTCAAGTGATAAATCAGGTCCCTACTTGTACTTAAAGTGAAGTTTATAGAATTTTGGTTGTATCAATGCTTACTATCAGTATAGAGACAGTGGAATCTAATAGGCAGTTGAATAAAAATTGGTTAGGATTTATCAGTTCTTACCGATGAAACCTGCTGGATTCGCCAGGGTCTATTCCCTCCAAATTAAGCAGTGGAACGAATATGATAATAGAAAATTAAATTATTATTATAACAAATTGCATTAAGAAAAAGTAAAAATTTAAAACCTCAAACTCTCATTTAAAATCAAATACACATATACACTTAAAAAAAGAGAGACAGAATTGAGCATTTTCAGCACCTGATAATAGCCTCCACTTTGTAAAACTTTACATCCGGGATGTATCCTACAAGAAATGAGAAGCCAGTAAAATTCAGGAGAGCCATAGCATATTTTTCTTGTAAAATTAGAAGAAAGTGAAAACCCACCAGGGGAGATCTGAGCTCTAATAACAGGAAAATACGAGGCCTCTCTGGGCCGTCTAAATACTGAATTAAGCTGATAAATTCTCGAGTTCTGGGACTTGAAACGAACCAAACTGGAAGGAAGAACAGAGAGTTCCCTGTGATTGTAGGCAAAACAAGCATGATTGAGCAAGCCTGTTTTCGCCATTGCAGCCATGGAAAGAAACCGAACCTCGAAGTTGACGATGAAGAGAAAAGTGGCAAGTGATTTCAAGTGTTTAGTGTTTGGAGTTGATGGGTTGGCAACCTTTTACAAATATTGGGCTGCGAGCTGGGCCAGATTTTGAAACAATCGAAAACGACGCCGTTGTTATAGAAAGGGTTTACCTTGATGACTCAATTTATGGTCTTGCAGATGAAGGATTGTGGATTGTGTTTTTCTGGTAAGTAAATTGCAGGGGGCGATAATGGCTGCAAAAGAGGGGAAACGTGAAGAGTTTGTATACAGAATCAGTACCGCCATAGAATGGGAAGAGTTGCAGAAGAATGGGTCAACTCTGGGTGGAGATCTTGATAAGTCAACGGGTTGCTTCCATCTTAGCAACCTCGATCAGGTTTTCTTTATCTCTGTCTTTCCAATTCGATTGACTATCAGAGACATCTAATCTCCATATGGGTATATGTGAAAGATGATTTATATCTCAGATACGCAATGTATATTAACTTAAAGATTAATCTTCATATGGTGGTTTTTGGCTAGTAATTTTCTTTACAGAATCCTCTTCATGCCATGAGAACAACATATGATTTGGTATTTTTCAGGTACAGCCCACATTGCAAATTTTTTTCTTGGACAATAAAGAGGATCTCTACCTTCTTCAAGTTGATACTAAGAAGGTATCCTTTCAATATTTATTGATTACAATCAAAAGAAAAACTCATAGTAATCTATGCTTGTTCTTTGGAAATTGATACTTCATCTTACTTTTCACTTTTGCAGTCTGGAATTTCAGATGTTCGTACATTTTACTTCTCTTTAGTTGTTTATGATTGAGATGTTTTGTGCTCAAAACGTTAGCTTGCTAAAATTGGGAAGCTTTTAGCGAAATTCATTACTTACAAAATGATTGTTTAGTTAATTATGATTTTACATTAAGAGATAACTGGGTTGAAGTGTTGTATGATATATATATATATATATATATATAGATGCATATAAAATGGATTTGCATTGCATGATGTGGCTGCAGCTTGGAGATGGATTGATATATGAAGTTGTAGATGGTGTGAATAGCTTTCCTCATTTCTATGGGCCGGGGAGGAGTTTCAGTCCTCTTCCCTTGGATGCAGTTGTGAGAGCAGAGAAATTGTCTTTTTCAGATGGTCAATTCACTTGTAGCCTTCTGAGTTAAATTGTGTAATGGGTGTTTGTATTTTGCCTTAAAGACAACACAGAGCTTTGTTGTTAATGTATGTTGTATAAACAGCTGTTGAAGAATAAGGGATAGTTCTGAAGTATTTTACTTGTTAGAGTTGGATGGATGTGGAAATTATATTTATAAATGGAATAAACTCAAGCCCATCCTGCATAATTTACTTTACTATTGATTAAAATCCAAAAGAAACCAAATTTGATTAAGAAATCAGTTTTATTTTTATGGCATTTGTCAATTTATTCAAAAATGCAACGATTTAGTTGGTTTTTTTATTTCAAATTTAACAAACGAACCCAATTAGAAATATTTAATTAATTTATTATTTACATAATACATACACACAAAAAAACTATATTTATGTCTCTTTAATTAATCTCTGTTATTTTGGTTGGACTTAGTTACGAGTTTTTCATTAACACAACTCTACTGGAATTTAATATTATATCTTTGAAATTAAACCGAACATTCGGCGGGGATAGCTCAGTTGGGAGAGCGTCAGACTGAAGATCTGAAGGCCGCGTGTTCGATCCACGCTCACCGCATCTTCTCTCTGTTTTTCACTTCTTTATTTCTCGCCTGTACTTACTTAACCCAGTGATTTTTTTCCCTATTTTCTTACTATTGTCCCTGAAATAAATTTTTTGGACCACTAAATTGTGGTTTCTCTCCTTACATCTACATCTACATACATATATATATATATATGTCATTTCCTCCTTTCTTTAAATAATTTTATATTTAATAGGATAAAACCGTATGTAATAATTAATTATTTAAAATTTTTAGATATAAAAATAGAATTTAACTCTTGATTAATTATAAATTACGTACTAAATAATTTTAAATATGAAAATAAAAAATAATTTGATAAGATTAGTATATGATTTATTTTTAGTTAATTAATTATTTTTCTTTCACACTTCATTTATATTGCAATTTCACTAAAAACTTTTTTATTTATTGTATAAGTAAGACGAACTCCATGTAACTTGAGACATGCAAGTATCATCCGTCCATAACATCGAAATATCAAACTAACATAGGCATATTCCCAAAGATTTAACTAGTTCTTCTAACAAGTTGCTAGGAGACATGAAGCAATAATATATTTTATAAACCTCCAGTCAAAAATGTGGTAAGGCTGTGTGTATATTGATATAAAAATATTTATAAACAGATTTGAACAACTAATAATGGCTAGAACTATAACGACTAATAATTAATTTGGAAGTAGTTATTTTAAATTATATTTAACTATTCTTTTTAAATAATCTTATTTTTTCAAACACTTAAAAGAGGACAATGAAAATGTCGGCTACGTTGAGTCTTTTCAATTGGGTATAGTGCATTAGATATAATGTCTTTTGGATTATAAATTACACAATGAGTTATAACTCAGAATAATTAGTAAAACTTTTAACTTTTATGAACCAAAAAAATTAATATTATAGGCTAAATTTCTAATTAGCCACATTACACCCTCATAAATTTTTGCTTTTTTTTTTTTTTTACGGTTATATGCTTAATAAGTCATGCTTGCACCCAATTATTAATGAATGCTCTAGAGACGTTGCCATAAATATTGTCCAATTATACACTCATATAGGTCATTCTATCAAGTGATATTGCAGTTAAATACATTACTTATAGAAAACATAAAAAAAGAGTAAGAGTTTAAATTATCCTCTAAATTTCTGATCAACCACATTATACCCCTAAAATTCTGTTGTTCATTACGATTATCTACTTATAAGCCATGTATGCATCCAATTATTTGTGAGTGCTTTAGAGACTTTTTCACAAATCTCGTATGAGTTGCCCAAGTGCATACTACAATTAAATATAACACTTACAAAGGATATAGAGTTTCATTAAGAGTTTAATTTATTCTTATAGTCATTGCATTTTTTACGCCGCTCACACCGTGGGAGGGACATAAATTAAGAGTGTTTTCACAAACAAATTAGCAAATGGTTTCTTACTACCATATGAATCTAATTCATGGTTTTGCTAATCTCATATGTTAGGTTACCATCACTATTATGTCTCAAATTAGTTATAGTCTCATTCCCCCTAATGTTTTATTTATTAATTTTCTTCCCAAGGGTTTAGTTAGAAGATCGACCAAATTCACTTTTTGACTTCATATAATCAATATATATAATTCTATCTTTTAACAATTGTTTAATCACATCATGTCTCTAATAAATGTGTCTATTCTTACCATTGAATTCTTTGCAATGGGCTATTATTATGGAAGAAGTTAGTTCATTGCCCACATATTATTTGCTAAGAAGTTCTACAGCCACTTAAACCTCATTACTAGCTAATCTCGGAGCAATATTATTTGCCTAATTTCCAGGTAGTTAAATAACCACCCAAGGGTGAATTCATAACCATCAATAGAGTTTGTCTTATTCAAATATGAAATGCAATTAGTATGATTATATCATTTTAATACAACATAGAATGCATTATATATAATATCGTAGTTCATGGTTCTTTTCAAATATTTCATTAATCTTATTAATGCAATCTAGTGATATGTATTGGGATTGTGTGTATACCTACTCAATAAACATGTAGTATATGTTATATTAGGTCTCAAAAAGTTCATCAATGCATCAAACTCTTACAATTTGTGCATACTCAAACTGAGCAACATAATAACCTCTATTTTGCTTTAACTGAATGTTGGCATCAATAAAGAGTAATCACATGTGTGACATTGAAATGCACAACTTCGTGAGAAGTTTCTAGCATAATGTTCTATGGTAACATACATCTTCATTTTCATTAGATTTAATAATCAATATTACATTTGTTTCACCTATGTCTTTCATATCAAATTTAGAAGTAAGAGAATATTTTGTTCTATGTACTATATCAAGACTAGTACCAAAAATAGATATATCATCTACATATAAGTATATGATCACACAATCATTATCAATAATAAGTTATGTACAATACTTTTGTCTATTTTAATATGAGAAAAACCATCATTTTAAAAAATAAACTTTATAAAATTTCACTTACTATTGCTTTGGTGCTTATTTCATATCATATAAAAGTTTAAGAAGTTTGCAAATTTTATTTTTTTGACTAGAAATAACAAACACCTCAAGTTGCACCATTTAAATCTTTTCTCCTAAATCACCAGTTGAAAAATTTGTTTTCACATCCATTTTGGTGAATAAAAATCTATATATTAAGTTAAATTCATCAAAATTTGAATAAAAGAAATTTTAGTTATAGGAGCAAAAGTACCAAAATAGCTAGTATTTTGTTTTTGAGTAAAATTTTTTACAGGAAAATTAGCTTTATATTTGTCAATAGAAATATTATGATTAATTTTTTAAAAAATTTATTTACAATCAATGCACTTAAATCCATGCAACAAAAATAAAATCAATTTCAACTTTAGAACTTCTTTCTAGAATAGTGCATCATGAGAAGAAGTAACATATGCAAAGGTATACGATCATTTTCCACAAGATAAATGGATATGTCTAAAGATTCTTTTTTTTTTTTTTTTGTCTTTTACTTCTTAAATCATCATTTCCAAAGTACTTTTAAATAATAGTTGTATGATTATAGATTTTAACAGAAAAACATGGCCAAATAGTTAAACAATTTTTCTTCTGTTATAATATTATGTTTAGAATATTACTCCTTATAATACTCGGGCCCGAGATCAACTTTAACATTCTCAAAATGTATAAAAATTTATTTTTAAGTTAATTTATTTTAATTTTTGTTGAATTTATGAAAAAATAAGTTATGCATGAAATCAAAAATAATTTTGAGAAAAAATGGTAGAAATTTGGGTTCGGATGAGTGTTTTTATAAGAAAAATTAGAAACTGAGGGTTAAAGTACAAATAAAGAAAATTGTGCTATGTAGGACCTCCAGTCAGCAACTCCGATGAAACGGAGCAAGCTGCGTAGCAAGGCACGCCGATATCGGCGCCACACGAGATGCCGCGCGAGCGATCTACATGCCCAGTGATTAAACGACCCAGGATTAGTCCCACACGTGTGGACGATCCATATTTATTTTTCCTTTAAACGCGATCGGACGGTCAAGATCAAATTAAAATGGACAGCTCAGATTTATTTTCTCATTAAACACAATTAGATGATCAAGATCAAATCACAATGAACGGTTCAGATTTATTTTATCTTTATGTGCGATTGGACGGACGTGATCGATTGTGATGGACAGTATAGATCAAAGCAGGATGGGTATAAATACTTCGTATTATACGAAAACTCAAACTTAGTTGCCAGCCCCCGCTAGAAAGGAAAAATCAGATGCCAGAGAAAGAGTTCGATCGTTGACTGCTGCCACACCGAAGTCACAGCCGACCACCAAAAAAGGTAAAAAAAATTTTTACTTGCTCGAAATTTGATTCCGAGCACCCCTATGGCCAAATTGGAGCAAAAAGGACGACATGTGAACTGAAAACTGCGGGTGAAACTCAGCGAAGCTGTCGCGGCCAAAGTCCCAAAACTCCTCCGATGAGCTCCTTTCTGATTCCCATTTCATGTAATTTTCTGATCATTGTGTTCACCGTCCTTTTCTGTACAGGTTGATTGAAGAAAGAACCTCAACTGCGAAGGAGAATCAATGGAGCTGCCGCACCTGGAGGTCTCCCCCGTTGGTGAGTTCGATTTTCTGTGATTTTTCGGCCAACTGAGGCTCCTGACATATTTTTCTGCAGGGATACAACCAAAATACCCAAAAATTGGACAAACTCGACCAAAACTGACTAGGCCGAGGCAAAACGCCGCTGTGGGCGGCGGAGCCGACGCCGAAGCATGGCGGCGTCACCATGTCGGAGCCCCAAAATTGGTCGGAATGAGTTTTGGACTCCGATTTTGTATTTTTATAGTATTTTTAAATATGTGACAAATGTTTTGGATTCCGCATGGATAATTCAAGAAAATCGAGTACCCTGTTAGGAAGTGCAGAAGGCAACGCGACATCC